GCCAAAATCGCCTTGCTATACATGGTCGTTTTTTTTGGCCCAAAACGCCTCACGATACATGGTCGTTTTTTTCGGCTCAAAACGCCTTACTATACATTGTCGTTTTTTTCAGCTAAAAACGCCTTACTATACATGGTCTTTTTTTTCGACTAAAAACACCTTACCATACATGGTCGTTTTTTTTGGCTAAAAACGCCTTACTATCCATGGTCGTTTTTTTCGGTTAAAAACGCCTTACTATATATACATGGTCGTTTTTTTCAGTTAAATACGCCTTGGTGTATATGGTCGTTTTTTCAGCTAAAAATGGCTTACTATACATGGACGTTTTTTTTCCGCTAAAAGCTCCTTACTATACATGGTCGTTTTTTTCGGCTAAAAACGCCTTACTGTACGTGGTCGTTTTTTTGGGGGCTAAAAACGCCTTCCTATACATGGTCGAAAAAAACCCACTATGAACGAGGTTTGTGCGGTACAACCGCCGCGCTTCAGCAAACATTTAGCAGAGACGAGCGCTTACTCAAGACTTGGCTCCGAAGCATTCACTTTACTTTGCGAGCACGTTGTTACATGTTTGTCTAAAAATTCCTTTGGACTATTGTTGGAGAAATGAGGCAATAAGTCAGGCATTTTGATCGTGGTTATTCAAAGAAACGCAACCAGTTGAGAAACACGTTTAATACGCTGTGAACGTTGTCCAGCAAAAGACGAATAAAAATACTACTCAGTACAGTTGACACATCAACAAGTGACAATACATAAAATGGATGGAGAATTACACGGCTGACATTTCCGACAGGTTCGATACTGTGACGCAGAAACGCCGAGTACTTGGTCGCGTCAGCGATTTCCTCAACCCCAAAGTCGAGCCATCAAGAGGAGAACGGAAACTAACACCCAGATGAAAACAAGCACCGCATTAAATGAAGACGACACGATTTTCAGAGGTTAAAACGCACCAAGTTCGCCGGCTCATGTGTTCTAGCGCAGCATACGATCAGTTGAACGACTGGAACGACGAACAACTGTTTAAAAAATATGAACACTTTAAAACATCGTTGACATGACATATAAAGTTATGTTGGGGCCTCACCCTTTACGGAAACGTATTTTCATGAAGTGTGAGATTAAAAGAGAGCCTGTTTTTTTTTTGGGGGGGGGTTACTTCATGAGTAACTTGTAGTTGACATACTAGCGTTCCCAAGTTTTGCTCCTGGTGTGCAGAAATGTCAAAGAGTAGTGGGGGGGGGGGGGTTAGGATCACTCGAAAAGGGTGCCGAATTTGCTTCCCGGGGAGTACTTCAGCCAGATGTCGAGGAAATGGAAGAATTACTCAAAAAGCTCTCCACATTTGCGGCGATTTGGGAAAACGAGGCAAATGCAGGTCTGTTTGTCAATCAAGCAGTTGGAAAAGAATTCCAAAAGGCAACCGCGGTGCACCTCAGTCGTCAGACTTGTACCCGTGAAAGCGAGCCAGCGACTTGTGCTTTAAGAAGGCGGCGATTGATGACGACCTCTTGACCTTAGTGCCGGAGACGGTCCTGGGCCTGTGGTCCTGTGGGGCGAAGGACAGGCGGTGCCGCCGCTGGCGTCGGCGGTGATGCGGCTTCTGTTGGTCCCCGCCTTCCCCTGCGGGGGATCCCGTTTCTCCTCCGCCGTCGCGGCGCGTGGGCGCTGCCAACAAGTGGAAGACGTCCTGCGGCGCGCTTCGGCTCAGGTACTGCCAGGGCTTCTTGCCGGCCGTGTCCCTCAACTTCACGTCCGCGTCGAATTTGTTGACCAGCAGGCGAATCATGTTCTTGTTGCCGTGGATGGCGGCGATGTGAAGTGGCGTTTGGCCGCACGACGACCTGGCGTTAATGTCGAACGCCAAACCAGCCTTTTGCACACCGTACCTGCAAGCCACAAGTAGAGGCTGATGGTTCGTCAAAACTGCGATGGCGAGTCGGAGCGCTGTCACGTGGGTGCCGAGCAGTCGCTGGCATTTACTCGAGCACTTTATCTCGGAAGACACGATGTATGAGTTGAGGAGTTTCATTTCGACACAAATGGTGCTTCCTTGCCATCTTGTGGCACTTCTGGGCACTGGGTAAGAGGAGCATTCATCACTGGCGGATTTTCGCTATTCATGGCCCGGCTCATGTGTGCATTTCTAATTCCATTCGTCCATATTGCAATCCGCTTCTCCTCACGAGGGTCGCGGTCGTGCTGGAGCCTATTCCAGCCTGAACTGGTTGCCAGCCAAGCGCAGGGCAAACACAGACAAACAACCATTCGCGCTCACAATCACACCAAGGGCCAATTTCGAGTGTTCCATTTGCCCGGCATGAACGTTTTTGGAACGGGGGAGGACCAGAGTCCTGAAATAAATCGCCGAAGAGCTCTCACCGTATTCTCATCGCAGACTAGCAAAGCCACAAGAAGCGAACACGCAAGCAGTACCAGAGTGTGTTGAGGACTCGATGGTCGCCGTGTTTGGCGATCCAGTGCAGCACGGTGAAACCGGAGATGAAGTCCCGTCTGTTGAGAAGAGTGCAGTCCTCCCGGAACAGCGAGTAGATGTCCGGCCAAGCTCCCGACGCCCCTTTCACCAACCAGGCGTGTTCTCTGGGCTCCAGCGGAACCAACGACTGGTGACAAAAATAAACGTCAGGCACCCGGAGGAGGAGGACAACGGAACCAACGTCGACGCGGGTAGGCCGTCGCTCTGCGCTCTTTGGCGTCCTACCTGCCTACTGTGGCTTTGGTGATGCGCGGCAGTCTTCCCTTTGGCTTCCGCCCTCTCGGCCAAGTCAGCCAAGCTATCGCAGCGAGACGGCGAGGAGCAGGACGACAGCGAGGACGACGACAGGTTGTAGCGAAGGCTCAGCGAGGACGAGATGCGGTGGAGGCGCCGCCGCCTGGCAGCTTCGTTCCCGCCCGCTCGGTCTTCG